GTGGTTATGTACTTTCATCATAGAACTCCTGTGTTCAGCATTTCTTGCCATTTAAGTTACAACCATAATCTTGACTTTTTTTTCTTCTTTTTTTCTTTTTTGCCTTTTTTTTTTGTAGCTACATCGAATGGACTCATTGCTTTACCTTCTGGTGTATCCTCAACGGCCATTATTGACAACAAAGACCATTGAGTTGGTTAGTATACCGTATACTCTTAGGGTTTCTGTTGCAACTATAGTTGGTAAATTAATCACTTTTTCTTCAGGTGGGCTATGATAAACTTGGAGCTGGGCAGAATGCAACTGTTGCTGTGATGAGTTATAGTGGCTACGACATAGAAGACGCAATAGTCATGAACAAGGCATCTTTGGATCGTGGTTTTGGTCGTTGTATTCATATGAAAAGGTACCCAACTTCATTGTCATTGGTGACTGCATATAACAATATCACAACTTTGCCGTACACTGTTGGTTGCTCAAGTGTTTAGATATTTATGGTTACTTACAGAAGATGTTTCCGAGCAGGTATTGCGCGGTGAATCAAAAATATGATAATAACACACAAGACAGAATTCTGAGGCCCAATAGAGATGGTACTGATTCTGGACCGATGCGGGTAATGCAAAGCCCTCTTCCTCCCTTTCCTTAAATCCTTGTACCTCTACCTACATGGCGTGGTGGTGCAATTATCTTAACTTCTTATATTTGTTGTTTAACTGCAGTCTTTATATGTCTCTTCTCCCGTTCAGTTTGGTCAACATCTTTTATAGTTGTCTTGTTATAGTATCATTTGAATTGCATTTCTTATAGGTGCTGGATGATGACGGACTTGCTGCACCTGGGGAAATTATTAGACGAAATGACATCTTAATAAATAAACAGGTCCCTGTTGTCACAAGGGGGCAATTTAAATCAGCATTAAATGATAGGTTGGCTACTTTGTTTGCCCTGCATATTCAAACTAGGATTCTGATTGTATAATTTCCTTACACCCATTTTCATATGCAGTGAGTTTAAGTCTGTTCCACAAAGATATGATGGGCCTCAAGGGGAATCATGTGTGGTCGATAAAGTGGCTCTTTGTTCTGATAAACATAATAACTTATGTTTCAAATTCTTAATTCGTCATACTCGCAGACCAGAGGCAAGAGATTGTTTTTGTCATCTAAGATACTTGTGCTTACCTTTTTGGATCCTCTGAAATATATTTTCATTCATGCAGGTTGGTGATAAGTTTAGTAGCAGACATGGACAGAAGGGTGTTTGTGGTACCATTGTCCAGCAGGAAGATTTCCCGTTTTCTGAGCGTGGCATTTGCCCTGATTTAATTATGAATCCTCATGGGTTTCCAAGGTAATTCCTTCTTTTAGAACTACTTGTAAATTTCATTGTTTTATCAATCATGTGCAAATTGAGTCGATGTGAGGTTTGTGTGAATTGAGTGGAAAAGATCAAATCGAATTTTCTACTTATTCTTGAAATATATATATTTTTTGGTCAATTACTCATTCTTGAAATATAGGTTTACATGTTATTAGAAAATATGAACTGCAAGTCAATGTTTTTTTCAAGAGGCAGTTGAGGTGATCATTTGAAACTGATGTTAAGGATGAGTTTTCAGTGTGTCAATTCATGTTCAGGTTGTGTGTTTGTATCCTCACTATTCATTATTTCGAGTTTCATAAGCAATGTTGTTTCTGATTGATAATTCAGAAACTGCAAAGTCATACCATTTATATTGTTTTCTAATAGTTTATTTTTTTTCAATTTCTACCTTTGCTTTTGTTTTTAAGATTTCAGTATAAAGTATTTCTTATTTCATAGCAGATTGGGTTTTCCATTTCAGAGGGTAGTTGGGCTTCCATTTCTTCAAAAATGAGAAAAGAGATTAATGAATAAAAGGATTATGAGTAAACAGGTCCAAAAAAAAAATTCCAAGCCAGGTTGTTAAACACAAATCATTATGTAGGTCCTAGGTCAGTTGATGGATTGTATTGCATTTCAGCACTCCTAGAAATATGTAAAAGGGGACAATCTGAGGTTATACTATTTGGAATCCATGCTTAAGATTTTTGTAGAATTTCTTGTGGAAATCATTTGAAGTAGTTCTTTCTAAGTTTGAAAGTTACATTCCTATCTTTTGTTAAGTGTTTATTGATCTTCTGGGTTTCTGACTATGTTCTGCTGTAGATATCTTTGGAATCTTCCTGTGTGTATATGATTCGTGTGTTTTTCATTTCCGGTTTTCTGGCGTTATTATCAGTCGAATGACTGTAGGCAAGATGATAGAGCTTCTTGGGGGCAAAGCAGGAGTGTCATGTGGCAGGTTTCACTATGGCAGTGCGTTTGGTGAACCAGGTGGTCATGCTGACAAGGTTGAAGCTATAAGGTGCTTAAATCATCTATTGTTTTGCATTGTCTTCTGTTTTTTTCCAGATTTCTTTTCTGTAAATAATTTCTCTTTTGTGATAGTGAAACCCTCGTGAGGATGGGCTTTAGCTACGACGGCAAGGACTTTATATACTCAGGTTGTGGCTTTGCTTCTGAAATTCATTTCACATGACAATTTTATTGCCTATTCAAATGAAAATGTTTTAAAGTGTCTATTAGATCATTTTCTGAATAAATAGCAGTGTCTGATATGCTAGATGATTTCTTGCAATGCTAAAAGATCCAAAGATTGGTTATTCGAATTTATAAGAGATTAAGTTGCATCCAGATATTCCAGGCATTATCAGATTCAAAAGAATTCATCTTTCTAGACCATCTTGGATATCGTAATTTTAATTTGAATGGACGAACAACTTACCTCATAATTGCATTGTGGTTCTTTTTGAAGTACATTCTCTCTCTCTCTCTCTCTCTCTCTCTCTCTCTCATTTCAATCTGGCTACACAGAAAATGAAAAAATTAGCACTATTCATAAACGTAACTGATGAAACAACATTATCATCTTGGTTCCTCTAGTGGTATCATATCATAATTATAGTTTGAATTTTCAAGAATTTTCAAATATTACGTATTTTACTAATCTTTAAACTATTTAATATCAAGATGCGTTTGTAGGTTGTACATCAATATGATTGTCTAAATTGAATTACATTAGCCTAAGATCATCAGCTCCCATTCAATTTCCGTCATAGTTAATATTGATAATCTACAGATGTCCATTGTGGGAACCAACGCTTAAATATTAATAATGCATTAGTTTAAGCTGGGAAAAAGTTGTAGTTATAACTTATATATACCTTTCTTAAACTCCAAATTCCCAAATTTTAGAAACTACATGTAAATATATAGATGGTACTGTGGTTGCTATATCTAAACTAAAAGAACTGAAAAAGAGTGCTTTGTGATTTGTAAGACATGAGATTACAAGCTAATAATAAGTGGTAGTCTTGTGGCTTAAGAAATTCTGAAAATTACTGGACATAGATGATGCAGTAGTTTTATTTGTTGGCTTAAATCCTGTAATTCTCGAGCTCTAAAGGATATGCTATGAAGTATGATTATTATTTTGCATATTTATTGTTTATCTAAAGAATTGTATGACTGACTGTAAATGTACTTTTCTGGAATGAATAGGATGGCCCTCATGAGTCATGACTTTATGGTTTAGAAGGTCAAGTAGAAGCTTTATATTTAATATACTTAAAAAAGGAGTCATATCTTATGCTTTTGAAACCTAAAACAATAATGGTCTTCGCTATGTTTAATTTGAATTAAAAGGAGCTCTTTAACAGTGTTCCATGTGCTTAGACAGATCTTTATCATATGAAAGAAGCTATCTTGATGCATGTGTTTATCCTCCAGGTATCACAGGTTGCCCATTACAGGCATATATATTCATGGGACCAATTTACTACCAGAAGTTAAAACATATGGTGAGATTTCAATTTTCAATCATGGCTATTTTACACACTTGCTTGTGAATATTCGGTTCCTTCCAAAGTTATCACTACGATCATTTCGATTTTCAATCATGGCTATTTTACATGCTTCTTGGAAGACATTAGTTTCTTCACAATATTTACTCCTGTCACAGAAAACATGGCATATTTTATTTTAAGTGTATCAAACACTTTGATTATTGCGCAGTTTACATTTACAGATCATTAAAACTTTCACGTCATATTTATGATATCATATAAATACATGATGTTCAGGTCCTAGATAAAATGCATGCACGAGGAAGTGGTCCCCGAGTCAGTCTAACTAGACAACCCACTGAGGGAAAAGCCCGAAATGGAGGTTGTGATTTTATCTTTGATATATCAAATTAATTTCACGTTAAGCAGTTCTGTTTGTTCTAATGTTATTCATGTACCAGGACTACGAGTGGGAGAAATGGAGCGTGATTGTTTGATTGCTTATGGTGCTAGTATGTTGCTTTATGAACGCCTAATGATCTCTAGTGATCCTTTTGAAGTTCAGGTATTTACTGCTTGTGCTTCTTTAATAAATCTACCTTTCAGATATTTTCCGTTGCATGCCTATAAGCCATTTTATGATGTCATCCCTACTCTGCCGTCTCAAAAACCAAACAAACCAACACTTACAAAACTTTTCAGCCATTGGTGGACAGTCCGAATTCTTTCAGTTTTTATCTGACTAGTTAAATACTTTTTCTTAGCTTCAAATATTTGCTATTGATATCAAATATTTAAATACTACTTCCAAAAAATAATAATAATAAATACATGCCTTTTTTGAAATGCTTCCTCAAATAAGTAAATTCGAAATGTCAATATAACCCTTTTGAGTTTTCTTTATTGATATCAACATACCTTTCTTTTATTGGGAATATATTTGCTCAGCATCACCATACATAATGTGCCAGGATAAGTTTAATTAGTCTACCCTCTGCACAAATCTCAACAATCGAGCTCACATCCAATGGCAACAAATATGGTAGTGAGCAAATCTAGTCTTTTTATTTGACTGCACTAAAACAAAATAGCCACAAACCAAAAGACCAACGCATAAATGAACCACATCATTTTATTAAAATGAAGAAACACAATTACAAAATTGCTGCGTTTTGTCTAAGGCTTTTCGAAAATGAAAAAGGGAGGTTTCATCTTCCTAGTAAGAGTTTCGGGCTGACTTCTTTCTTCATGGTACGCCTCGCGTGCCTCTGCAACATGACATTCTTCTTATTATTATTATTTTCTTCGGTGCAAGACCTGCTAGGTTGTAATTTTGGTAGAAAGCGGCCCAAAGTGATATTGTGTCAAAATTACCAATGAACTTCAGTGACGGTGTGACACTTGAATGGTTGGATTTGATATTTGTGGACCCATTATATTATTTTGGATCTTCCATAAAGCAAACCAATCTTATGAAAAACCATAACTTTTCTGAAGGTTTTCAAAAAGTGGTATCTCAGACACGACATTGTATTGTAGCTTCTAATATTTGCTTTTGCCTCAGGTTTGCAGAGTTTGTGGTTTATTGGGCTATTACAACCATAAGCTGAAAACTGGAATTTGTTCCTCATGTAAAAATGGGGATAATATTTCCACCATGAAGCTTCCCTATGCTTGCAAGCTCTTGATTCAGGTAAAGCTTGGCAATTCATTGAATGTTCTTTTGCTTATCCAAGCTGGCACATCCCCTGTTTGTGGAAGGTCTCTTAACATCCCCTTTAGTATATAGTAAGACATAACATTCTGAGTTAGATACTGGGTTTGCAATTTAATTTGTCTAAGTAACCGCTTAAAAATGTGATCGAAAAGAAAACCTGAAAATTTGCCTCTTCATATATTTCCTGATTTGCAAAAATGGCTCTTTATATAGTTTTTACTGCCTTGGAAAATTCCTTCTTCCAACTTTTGTTGCTCTAGTTTTGATGGATTTCGTTATCTGAAATTTTTCTTCAGCTTATGTGAATCTTTCTTGTCCGAAACCATATGCCTTCTTTGTTCACAACACTTTTATGTGTCTAAAAGAATGGTCAGCTATTTCTCTTGGTTTAATTTTATTAAAAGGGGTTGATGAGCAAGTTTTGAGCAAGTTATCATGGTTAATTAGCATACCCTAAAGAATGTCGGTAATGGTTCCGCGTGCTGATGTTTAAGAATAGACATAACTTGACTGAAATCTTTTTTTCTTCTTTTTGTTATTTTTCCCTATTATTAGCTTGTCAATAGTTTCCCTACATTTCACAGCTTCAATCTTAAGTAACCTTTCAACTGTTGAATGCTTGCTTCCAGGAACTTCAATCGATGAACATTGTTCCTCGGTTAAAACTAGCTGAGGCATGAAGTAAGGCTTTTCTTGACAGCACCGAGTCTACAAACTGAAAGTGAGATTTGATTTTGCGATTTAATTCTATTCTAAAAAATGCTCCTCAAAATGTTTTATTCATGGGTTTAGATTTTGTTCAATTTCTCGTTCTGGCATGTAAGATTTAGGGTTTACATTTCTAATTTTTATATATAATTGCATTTCATTGAACAACTTGTTAATCCCTTCATATATCTAGGTCTACAACTACTATTGTGTCTCCCTTGGATTTTGTGCACCTTAATATTCTGCATGTCAAACTCTGGCACCAGCCAAACATCAAGGTGTTCATTCCGCAGTGGGCAAATGAGGGTGGGAAGGGGAACCTCAAAGACACAAAGGAGTCGAGGAAGGCGCTTATGGGAATACAATACATCATATGTAATTAAGACTGACCCCAAACAAAAATACTGATTTTGTGTTGTTTCGGAATGTAGAAATGTAATATTTTCTTATTCTAGATCCAAGTTTGGATTTGGTATACACAAGGAACATCTTATTGTGCTGGATTTATATGGGATGATGGAATCAGCACTCGTAACCTGATGCATAATAAACCATCTCTAGGAAGTCAATCAGACATAGAGAATGAACCTGCTTAGAGGGATTAAGGGATTTAGTGGTCTTCATAAAATAAAAAAACAAAAAAAAACAAAGGATTTAGTGGTGGCTTTAAAGATGAAGTACAAAACCCTTAAAACAACCGGTGATTTAGTGGTGTCAATTTGCTAAATGGAATTAGGAATATGTTGCTAGTTCATTTGTGAATTTCTACTTAGTGATATGTGTTATGCTAATTATGAAATTCATAATCTAAAATATCGATAATATCAATGAAAAATCGAAGATATTATCGTATTTTCGAGTCAAAGATATTTTGGAAAATATCAATAATATCGGAAAATATCAATGTCGACAATTTCTCTCACACCTCAGCAATATTTGGCTAAAATATCGCTATAATATCGATATTATCGAGATGATGAAGACAATGAAAAATTTGAAGAGTTAATTACGCTAACACCCCTTGAGGTTTCTTGTGTTTTCACAAACCCCCTCAGGTCTCAAAAATTACACGAACACCCATGAGGTTTCAGTTTGTTTTCACAAAACCCATTTTCATTGATTGTATATCCTAAAATTGATGATTTCATTGAAAAAAAACTTAAGCAAATGAAAAAATTAACCTCAATAAAGTGTATGCAATTTAATCTCAAAGGCCAACTTTGTCATTTGGAGATTTTTTTTTGTATAAAATCATCAATCTTTGGATGAAAAATCAATGAAAATGAGTTTTGTGAAAATAATTTATAACCCCAGAGAGTGTTCTTGTAATTTCTAAAACCTCTAAGGAGTTTTGTGAAAAATTCGAAAACCTCACGAGGTGTTAGTGTAAATAACTCAAATTTGAACTTTACAGAAACTCTATGTGGTACTAAGTACCCGTTTGGCATTGCTTATTTGGAGTGATAAGTGATTTTTTAAAAATTTTGAGAACCCCAGCCCG